TTCACCCAGTCCCCTCCCCTCTGGCAACCATCAGTCTGTTCTTTGTATCTATGAGTCTGTTTCTGTTTTGTTTGTTCGTAGTGAAATCATATGGTATTTGCTGTTCTCTGACTAACTTATTTCACTTAATACTCTCTAGGACCACCCATGCTGTCGCAAATGGTAAGATTTCATTCTCCTTCTTCTTTTTCAATCCTCCCCTGAGGCTATATTTCCATTGATTTTTAGGGACAGTGGAAGAGGGAGGGAAAGACAGAAAGAAACATCGATGTGAGAGAAACACACCGATTGGTTACCTCCTGCACCCAGGGGAGGAGCCTGCAACCAGGATACGTGCCCTCAACTACAATAGAACCTGGGACCCTTTGGTCCGCAGGCCAACCTCTATCTACTGAGGTAAACCAGCTGGGGCAGGTTTCATTCTTTTTATGGCCGAATAATATTCCATTGTATATATGTACCACTGCCTTTTTATCCATTTGTCTACTGATGGGCACTTGGGTTGCTTGCATAGCTTGGGTATTGTTTTAAAAGAAAAGCCCTAACTGGTTTGGCTCAGTGGATAGAGTTTCGGCCTGCGGACTGAAAGGTCCCAGGTTCGATTCCGGTCAAGGGCATGTACCTTGGTTGCGGGCACATCCCCAGTGGGAGGTGTGCAGGAGGCAGCTGATCGATGTTTCTCTCTCATTGATGTTTCTAACTCTCTTTCTCTCTCCCTTCCTCTCTGTAAAAAAATCAATAAAATATATATTTTTTTAAAAAGACACTTCAATGAACATATATTCTTTCAAATTAGTGTTTTGGGTTTCTTTGGATATATACCCAGAATTGGAATCACTGGGTCAGAAGGTAGTTCCATTTTTAATTTTTTGAGAACCTCCAATCTGTTATCCATAGAGGCTGCCCCAGTCTGCATTCCCACCAGCAGCGCACCAGGGTTCCCTTTTCTCTGCATGCTCCCCAACACTTGTTTGTTGATTTCTTGCTGACAGCCATTCTCACAGATGCAAGGCATTTTCCTTCTGAGGATATGTTAATAATTTTAGAGAGAGAGGAAGCGGGGCGGGGGAGAGAGAGAGAGAGAGAGAGAGAGAGAGAGAGAGAGAGAGAGAGAGAAAGATAGATGGGTTGCCTTCCGGATGAACTCCAACCAGGGATTGAACCGGAAACCTAGGTATGTGCCCTGACAGGGAATCCAACCTGAAACCTTTTTGGTGTTCGGGTGACTCACACGCCAACCAGCTGAGCCAGCTGGCGGGGGTGCAAAGCACTTCTCTTGATGCCAAGGAGCTACAGACTGTTTTCCCAAACTGCCCTCAAAGCCATTCATTTCTTTTTGATGCGCAGGAAGAGCCCTGAATTCCTTGTGTGGTACACTGGGAGTGGAAAAACTGTTTCTATGGCAACACCAGGCTGTCAATCAAGCAAAAGAGGTGGGGCTCAGAGGGCGGGTCTTTCCCTGTTTTCCAGCTTGCAAGTCTTACCTAGAATTTTTTTTAAATATGCTGATTTATACTTTCAAAATTTTTGTTAATCCTCATCCGAGGATATTTTTCCATTGATTTTTAGAAAGAGAGGAAGGGAGGAGAGAGAAATATCTTGTGAGAGTGACACATCGGTTGGTTGCCTCCCCAGTGCACCGAGACTCTACTTGCAACCCAGGTACCATACGTGCCCTGGACCAGGAATCAAACTTGCGACCGCACACTTAGAGTGTGTGGGTGGACACTCTAACCACTGAGCAACACCAGCCAGAGCTGGCTTGCTGTTTTGTTTTGTTTTTAAATATTTTTTATTGATTTTTTACAGAAAGGAAGAGAGAGGGATAGAGAGTTAGAAACATCGATGAGAGAGAAACATCCACCAGCTGCCTCCTGCACATCTCCCACTGGGGATGTGCCCGCAACCCAGGTACATGCCCTTGACCGGAATCGAACCTGGGACCTTTCAGTCCGCAGGTCGATGCTCTATCCACTGAGCCAAACCGGTTTCGGCGCTTGCTGTTTTTTTATGTCACATGTATCGCTTTAGTCAATGAGTACAAAGGAAAAAGAAAGTGGCTTATGATAAGTGAACAAAATGAAATATGTGCACTTATCATCTGGGAATTTTCACCTGGCTCATATTTGAAAATGAAATGAAAACTTTAGTGAGAACAATAAAAGGAATACTATAGCCCTGGCTAGGTGGCTCAGTCTGTTGGAGTGTCATCCTGTACACCAAAAAAGTTGCTGGTTCGTTCCCTGCTCAGGGCACCAGGTTGTGGGTTCAATCTCCAGTCGGGGTGTGTATGAGAGGCAACCCTTCGATGTTTCTCTCACATTGATGTTTCTCTCTGTCTTTCCCTCTCTCTCCCACTCTCTCTAAAATTAATGAAAAAATATCCTCCGATGAGAATTCAAAAAAAAAGAATGTAATTAGAAATTTTGAATAGTTGTCTTTGCCCTCAGTGTTACCTATATTGTCTTTAATGAAGCAGAGAGAGGCATGAAAGAACACACAGCTGAGAAACAACCGAACAGGACTCTGGGTCTGTCAAGACTCCAGGGCACACACATCCTTTTAGCCAGATTTAAACCACGTAGCATAGAATGCACCCATTTAAAGTGTATGATTCCGCGGAGTTTAGTATATTTACAGAGTTATACAACCATCACCACAGTCTAATTTTAGAACATTTTGATCTCCCAGAACAAAACCTCATCCCATCAGCAGTCACGCCTATTCCCCTCCCCATTAATCCTTTTTTCTTTTTTTGGTACCAAAACCTGTGAAAGAACCACCCATTCATTCCTTATCCCCAGGCAGCTACGAGTCGACTCTCTGTCTCTCTGAATTTGCCTGTTCTGGATACTTCCTATAAATGAAACCATACACTATGTAGCCTTTTGTGACTGGCATCTCTCTTTTTGTTGTTAATCCTCACCCGAGGATATTTTTTCCATTTATTTTTAGAGAGAGTGGAAGAAAGGGAGGGGGAGAGGGAGAGTTAGGGTTAGTCAGGCCAGTGCTCTAACCACTGAGCACTCCAGCCAGGGCATGACTGGCATCTTTTACTGAGCATCATGTTTCAAAATTCACCACTGTTGTAGCATAAGTCAGCAGTATATTCCTTTTTATGGCCAATAATACTCTATTGTTTCACATGACATTCTGTTGGACTACATTTTGGTTATCTAGTAATCAATTGATGGGCATTTGGGTTGTTTTTACTTTTTGGCTCTTGTCAGTTCTGCTGCTGTGAACATTCTTGCATAGGTTTTTGTGTGGACAAGTGTTTTCAGTTGTCTTGGGTGGATTGCTGGATTGCATGGTAACTCCATGTTTAGCCACACCCATGTGCTCAGAACAGTACAGGAGTCAATGTAGATGTATGAAGCAGCTCCTGTGGGCACTGTTGTATGTGCTGGGAATACAGCAACAAACAAACAAGCAGGTCACCACCTAGGCCAGGTAGCTCAGTTGGTTACAGCATCGTCTGGATATGCCAAGCTTGCAGGTTCCATTTCCGGTCAGGGCACATACAAGAAGCAACCAATGAATCACAAATAAGTAGAACAACAAATTGAGGTTTCTCTCTCTTCCCATCTCTCTCAAATCAATTAAAAACAAGAAAACAGGTCATGTGGAGGAAAAGGACATATGGAGAAAAAATAAGACGGGGTGTATGATGTGGGGTACAAGCCTGAGAAAGCCTCGCTCAGAGGTGACATTTTTAAAAAAAAATATATTTTATTGATTTTTTTACAGAGAGGAAGGGAGAGGAATAGAGAGTTAGAAACATCAATGAGAGAGAAACATCGATCAGCTGCCTCCTGCACACCCCCTACTCAGGATGTGCCCACAACCAAGGTACATGCCCTTTTACCGGAATCGAACCTGGGATCCTTCAGTCCGAAGGCCGACACTCTATCCACTGAGACAAACCAGTTAGGGCAAGAGGTGACATTTGAGCAAAGGCCTGAAGGAGGTCAAGCAGTGAGCCAGGCAGACAGTCTCGGGGTAGGCCAGGCTGGTGGAGGGAACAGCGAGTGCAAAGACCCAGCGGTGGGAATGAATGAAACGGATGTATTTGAAGAACATGGAGGAAGCAGGAGGAGGGGGAGAGTGGAGTGAGATGAGGCAGGAGGTGATGTCTCACAGCTTGTTTAGGAACAAATGGGCTTATCGTGAGCATCCAGAGACTGCTCCTGGCATTCTGGGAGCAGAGGCAGCCTCAGCCCAGACCACGAGAAGACCAGGCTATGCCTGGGGGTCCCCGACACCCAAGGGCAGAACCTCCTGCCCCGCCAGCTTCACGAGGCCCTAGCAGCCTTCCTGTCGCACCACCTTTGCCCAAATGCCTCCAGCCCAATTCCTCACCCAGCCCCAGCCGGACCAGCCTCTTGGTCTTGGCCTCAGAGCATCCCAGCCTCCTGGTCCTGGACATCGTCCATGTCCTCATTGCACAGCAGGGAGCGCAGTTTCTGCCCTGTCTCAGAGCAGGACCAGGCACAGAGGGGTGTCCGGGGCCCTAAATCCCGTCTATAACCGGGAAACTTTCCCACCGGGTTTGCAGGATGCTAAGAACATGGTGCACCTCGCCCTGAGGCAAGTGGCTGCCCAGATGGTCCTTAACCCCTTCCTTAGCAACCTGCCCCCGTCCCCATGACAACTGGGGCGGGGCCGAAGCCGGTCGGGCCGGAGCGGGGAATATCTCTCTCGGCGGAGGAGGAGGAGTCGGCGCCGTGCCTACTGGCCCTTTAAGAGGCTCCGCCAGGCGAGGCCTCAAAGCGCCCTGATTAGCCCCCGAGCGGCCGAGCGCAGCCCAACTTGACGCACCGCCCGCAGCCTCCCTCTCCACCTCCCACGCGGCTCAGTGGCCGCCCCAGCCAATCGCGGGCCGGCGCGCCGACCCTCATCTGCATGGTCACGCCCCAGGGAGAGGGCGCGACCCAATCCAACTGCGCGTGGAGGCCGCCATCGGCTTGCCGGGGGCGGGGCGGCAGGGGCGGGCGGCAGGGGCGGGCTCCGGGCGGTTGGTTGGCGAGGCGCCGCAGCCGAGAGGTCCGGGAAAGTTTCTTTGGAGGTGAAAACAGCTGCGGAACTCAGGGCCCTGCGAGGGGCCGGCGGGGCGGGGGTCTCGGGACGGGGACGGGGCTGCCTGCCGGCCAGGTGGGGAGAACCAGGGCCTCGCGGGGGCCGATCGCCCAACAAAGGATCCCAGGGGCGCCCGCCCTGGAGGCCTTCCCAGCCCCGGGATCCGGCCCCCCCAAGCGCTGCGGGCCCGGTGGTGTCGGTGGCCTGGGCGCCCCTAACTCAGCTACGCGTCTGCGTTCCAGGTGCGGCCGGGAGCGGCCATGTCCCACGGCCCCAAGCAGCCCGGCGCGGCCGTCGCGTGAGTGCGACTCCCCTTCCACAGCCCCCACTAGGGCGCAGCTCAGCCCCGCCCACCTTGTTGGAGCTCCTCGACCCCGGCCCCAGGGTCTCGACTCCCCGCCACCCGGGCAGTCCCTGCCTTAGCGCCCCACGGGCTTCTCCCCACGCCCGGGCTCCAGCCCCTCCCAGGGGTCCCCACTGCCCCCCTCACAGGGATCGGGTCCCTTCGCTGCTGCCCTATCTGCCGTCGGGGGTAATGAATGGGTGTGACCCTGGAGTCCTGTGGCTTAAGCCTCTCCCGGGGGTCCCTACTGGCTCCTGATCCGACCTCCGGACCCTGCTCCCCAGAGACCCCTGCTCCCAGGACTCAGGCCCCCGCTCTGCCAGCCCCACCGTCGGGGTCGGGGTGGGGGTGGGAGTGACTGGCGTTCCCGTGACTCCAGGCCGGCGGGCGGCAAGGCTCCTGCACAGCATGGGGGCTTCGTGGTGGCTGTCAAGCAAGAGCGCGGCGAGGGCCCGCGAGCCAGTGACAAGGGGTCCCACGAGGAGGAGGTGAGAGCCCCCGAATTGTGGTGGGGGAGGCTCTGGGTCTCCAGCCTCACCTCGGACTAGAGCTGACCCGCTGTGGCTCCGCCCACTGCCCAGATTTCCGTCTGGAAGCTGAGACCCCGCCCCATATTAGATGCCACGCCTCACAAGGTCCGCTGCCACTCTGCGGCCAGCCCTTTGCCCACAACCGAATGCAAGCTCCGCCCACTGCTTGCCTCGGGGGGGGCACCTTTTGGCGTATTAGAGGCCACACCCACAACAGAAAACAGCCTGAACCCCTGTTTCCAGTACCTCTGATACCCCTCACTTCTATCCAGGCTTCCTCGACCCCCCTTCACAATCCTAGCCCCTGACCTGGCCACACCTCCAGGCCTTCTGGGTCCTACTTGCTGGCTGGCCACCTCACCTCTAGCCTCGCCCACGTCTTCCAAGGCTCCGCCCCGTCCCCCTCTGGGCCCCCCTCTAGGCCCCTCCCAACGGCGCTGCCTGGTTCCGCAGCCTGTGAAGAAGCGAGGCTGGCCCAAGGGAAAGAAGCGAAAGAAGATCCTGCCAAATGGCCCCAAAGCACCTGTCACTGGCTACGTGCGCTTCCTGAACGAGCGCCGAGAGCAGATTCGCACGCGCCACCCGGACCTGCCCTTTCCTGAGATCACCAAGATGCTGGGTGCCGAGTGGAGCAAACTGCAGCCCACAGAGAAGCAGGTGGACGGCAGGGGGCGGCGGAGGGGGCCAGCCCGGGACCACTGACCTCCCCCCACCCATTCAGGCCCCCGCAGCCATATCCTGAAAGGACCTGGTGTGGAGGGTTCTTCCTCCTGGAGAACTGACCGCCCATGAGGCCTCCCCAGTTCATTGGGGGAGGGTAGTAATAGGGGAGACTAGACAGAAAACTTAACCAGTGTGGTCACCCAACGTCTAAAAGAAGTAGGGGTGGGAGCTAGATTTTTATGTGAAATCCGATTTTCAAATCCTAGTAATTTAAAAACTGCATAAGCATCGAGAAAAGGTAACAAAACTCACCACTGGCTTGTACCCTCATAAGTGGGGTTTCAACAGGTGAAACGGGTGCTGGAGGGCAGCCTGGAGGTGGGAGCCTATAGTCAGACCCCGTAGAGTGGTTCATAAAGGCTGGTGAGGTGGGAAGCTAGGAGGCACCCTGAGCAGCAGGCTAAGGGGCCAGGTTTTGTCTGGAGGGTAATAAGGAGCTCGGGGAATGTCCAGCACCGTGAGATGAGTGATGGATGGGGGCCTGGCCTTGGAGGCCTCCTCGGCCCTGGGGCTGGGTCAAGCCTTCTCATGCTGCCCTGCCAGCGGTACCTGGATGAGGCCGAGCGGGAGAAGCAGCAGTACATAAAGGAGCTGCGCGCGTACCAGCAGTCAGAAGCCTACAAGATGTGCACCGAGAAGATCCAGGAAAAGAAGATCAAGAAAGGTGAGAAGGGCCCCAGCCCCAGGCAGCCCAGTGCCTGCTCTGAGGGGTGAGCCTGGAGACCCCTCACCTCCATGGGGTTCACATGGGAGGGAGGGGAAGGCGGGTGTTGCAGGCAGGGGGAGCAGCATATGCAAAGCAAAGCAGAGTCCGAGGAGACCTGGGAGGCTGACCCTGCCCTCCCCCTTCCCCCACCAGAGGACTCGGGCTCCGGGCTCATGAATACCCTCTTGAATGGACACAAGGTAAGTGCCCTCCTCCAAGCAGAGCGCCTAGGTGAGAAAGGTCCGGAAGTCTTTAGGCCCCTGGGTGAGGCCCTGAGTGAGCCAGGACCAAGGCTCATGGAAAGTGAACCGCCCTGCCCACCCTGTGTAAGTAGGGGCAGCCACCCCCTGGGAATGTTAACAGACTCGACCTCAGTGGCTCAAGGAGGCCCCCAGGCTTGGGGGATGTCCCAGAGGGCATTTGGATGCCCCCTCAAAGTAAACATCGCCCCTTGTCTTGTCCCAGGGTGGGGACTGCGATGGCTTCTCCACCTTTGATGTCCCCATTTTCACTGAAGAGTTCTTGGACCAAAACAAAGGTGAGCACCAACTCGGGGTTCTTGGGGGAACGTGTTAGGAGGAGGGTGGGCCGAAAGAGGGCTCCAAGGCAACAGGTAGGGAGTGGGAGTATTTACCCCGAAAGCCAAGCCATTTTCCTCACCTGCCCCGAGGCCCGGGAGCTCAAGGATGGGGCTGGGGGCAGAGCAATGCCTTCAGGCCTGGCGCGGGGCACCGCTCGGGCAAAGGCCTGGCAGAGGGTAGGGGGAGGCAGTGCCAGCTCTGACCTGGCTCCCGCTGCAGCTCGGGAGGCGGAGCTGCGGCGCCTGCGGAAGATGAACGTGGCCTTCGAGGAGCAGAACGCGGTGCTGCAGAGGCACACCCAGAACATGAGCAGCGCGCGCGAGCGCCTGGAGCAGGAGCTGGCGCTGGAGGAGCGGCGGACGCTGGCGCTGCAGCAGCAGCTCCAGGCCGTGCGCCAGGCGCTCACCGCCAGCTTCGCCTCGCTGCCCGTCCCCGGTGCGGAAACCCCCGCCCCCCACCGGGAGTTCTTGTCCCCGCGAATCCTGCTCCTTCCTTCAAACCCCCACCCGGGCCACCAGGGAGGTCATGCCCCTTGGGGTCCCGCCCTCCCTTTGCCCAGACCCTGGAAGTAGCCCAGCCCCCTAATCCCTACTGACCCGGCTGCATAATGGACCAATCTCTCTACCGCCGAGAGATGCAAGCAACCTGGGCAATCCCCCCACCCCCAACCCGTCCGTAAATGAACTGTGCCTGGCCCTTCATGTGAACTCCAGGCCC